GGTAGATCAATCGTTTATAGTCAAGTAAAAGTTCTTAAAAGGAAAAATAATTTTGAGGATTCGTAGTGACAAAGAAAGTTAATGAAACATGGCTATACGTTTAGCATAATGAAATAGTGAAGGTCTTGGTACATTTTCGCTCCCATTATCCTCGTATCTCACTTCCTATATATCACAAATGCTAGCTTGTTCATACTGAACCTGACCAGAAATGCCCTTTTGGTCGGGTTGGGCGGGGCATTCCCATATATAATGTTGTTTATCTCTGCCCACGAAAATGCTAGCCAGACTTGGCCCTTCCAATCCGTATACTGCTCAATTCAACTGTCATCAAAATGGTCCTAGTGATTTCTAAGATCCGTTTCATATCTCACTAATAAACGGATTTTATCTAGCTCAAACCTCTAAATGCACTATATTCAAGGCGCTAGTCTTCATTGCTTCTCTCAAGAGTATAATGTAGCCTCATCAAACAGGGCTGTGAGGCCTAAATTCTCAAGCTATACACAAATTTAACACTGCCCCTGAATTCAGCATGCGTGGTGGGTAAATCTCATTAAGTCATTTTCATTGTTCAATCCGTGTAATCTTGGCAGGCTATATGCTGGCATAGATGGAACATTCTTGATGGCTTTGTTCACGAGGAAATCTTTTCGTAGTCCGAATAAGAGCTTGACTCGATGGGAGCTTCAATCAGATTGTTTCAATAAAACCGACCGACAGCCGACCAAGAGGAATCCACAGTCGTCTTCTGGTGGGATGGACCTTACAACTTCTTCACCAAGTAGCTTCGCTCGAAATTGAAGTGGGATAGACAATTACTTCAAGTTTGCGCAGGCCATAGGCAAAGTAACAGCAAATTCTGCCTTAATTTAATTTCCTGTTCATTTAATTTTTCTTAGCAAGGATATCGAAGCCTCCCTAGTTTTTTTATCTCTGAATTTGTTCCGCGTGAGGTCTGTCTTTCATTTGACCTCCATTTGATCTCATGTCCTGTCCGTGCGACGTGCTCCGCTATTTCAGACCTCTGCCTACAATTAACTCTCGATAAAATCAGTTATTTTCACCTTAGCATGTTGCGTGGGTGAGTTCGTGAAGTTTGTTATTGCCCTTCGTGATCACATAAATATGCAATTTTCTTAATATCGGTAGAAGTCTCAGAGCTAGTTCACAGAAAGCACTTCTGTGAATCTATTCAAGCCTTCACGATCAGTAGGTTTCTTTTCATGACTTTTATCAAGTATCTGCTGTCGAGGGACATCAAAGTAAATTGTTTTCAATGCTTTGTCTCATAACTCCATGTCGATTAGCCTTAGGTTTCTAGTAATATTGTTCCTCACTATTCTGAACTTCAGACTAAAGTTGTGAAAATAGAAGTTAAAGGATGTCCCTAAATGCTATTTCGTTATGAACCATCTTCCCTTAAATGTACCGTTGACATCCAGGAATGGTAGCTGCACATCCTCTTATTCTGCCTTCATGGTGAACTTAATTGCTTCATCAAAATGATTCATAAGCTTAAGGAATTCATCTACATTTTATCTTCTATGCAACCAAAGGGCAAATTTACCTTCCAAGTATTGTATGTGCACTCGTGGTTGCAGTGGTGTTGACTAAAATTCCTTTTTTTATTTGACTATGTATAAGTTGGTCAAGATGAGGCTCCCATAGTATCGAAATATTTTTTCACAGATATTGCTGTTGAATGCTCCAGTAGGTGATCCATATTGCCAAGTTAAATAGTCATGTTAGAGATTCCACTGAGATCCTCTCCCTTTTCAGTATATTATTTCCTCATACCATGCTCTTCAGCAGAGCGGTGAGTGATTTCTCCCCTGATATGCGATCACAACTTACAAAGAATTCGGTTTCTTTCTATCCGTTAAGAAAATTTATGTGTTTTGATAATATAGTATTTAACTTCTTGGGCTTCAAGCACGTAAATGTAATGGGTTAGTGTGTTGCTCCATTTATGCTGTTTACTATAAGCTCTAGTGGTTCCCTGTGCAGTGCATCTTCAATAATTCGTGGGCCATCAATGGTTATGCGTCTTTCCTTATTAATTAATTAATCGTCTAAATTCATCTTTCGACTTCTCCATTTGTAGCCATTTCTTAAAGAATGTCCTAAAGTGTTCCAATGATCTTTAAAAGTGAGTTCTTCTATAGCAAACGATATGTCCAACATCCTAGTATACTTCCTAACTTAGGTTATTGCTTACGACTGTGGAGGCAATGAAAGAGAATCTAGCATGAATTAAACGAAGTCGTTTTAAGAGTAAAAGAGCCGGGTAAGATAGACAATCCCGCCGCTTTTAAATGAGAGGAAATGGAGAAAAATAGAGGGGAGTGTGGTTTCTCTTCACTAAGAGCTCAATATAGCATTCCTCTAAAGTAGCGCAAGTTGTGATAAAAAGGAAAGGATCTATAGGTGAAATTAGGTAAGTGGATGTATCAGGGCAGGATGAAGGATATCGAATTCTTTCTACAGAAAGATGGTTAATGGATAGACTCAACATGTTTCTTTAACGAGTTGTAGCTAGGAGCATAATTAGAAAGGCTCACAGATGATGCCGAAGAAAAGCCTGGAAGTGTACTCAGTCTACAGTCGGACATGTAAAATTATCATGATTGCTATGGCAGAGGACTCCAGATAGTCGACCTGACAATACAACTAAGTTGCAAAAACGAGGTCAAACCGCTTTTATACAAATTAATCAGTTTGTCAACGCTAACAGAAAGAAACATTCTTAATCACTTGGTAAACTTGGAACAGCAAAACAACAAGCCATAAAGAGATACGTTTCCGTCCAACGTTTTATAAGGATTATTATATGATAAGAAGCTAATTTTGCATCCCGTTTAAAATAAAAATAGGTCAAAAGCCTAATCAGTTAAGCATGAACTGACCACAGATATTAATTTTTTATAGATTACCTGTGACTTTTCCGACCCCAGAGGATGCTTCAAGACGAGCCCGCTTAATATCCGGTGCTTCGAACTCATCTAAGGACAATCGTCGCCTGCGAGAGGATTTTTCGGTAGCGTCTAACTGAGATTTACTTGCAGAATCATTGTAGGCTATTAGATTTGGGGCAGAAACTCGGATGAGACACTCAGAGCCAGGAATCCCAGTGACTGCGGTGGGCCGTCCAAACTCCAGAGCCGGCCCACCAGTGGTGAACGTGGTGGATGAGAGGCCAACAGTTGACATAGCCTCTATTAAGGCCTCAGTAGGCCTTCCTCGCTCTCGGGGTGGCAGTAAAGCAGGGTTTATCTGTCATCAGAATGAAATTGGAGAACAAATCGAGGAATTCTACTCTCCAAATAATGATAAAGTAAAGAATACAAAGTCATGAATAGTTAATTGTTTTTAATAAAACTATTTAACAAAACCTCTCATGGAACACCTTAACGTTGAATGATAAAAGTTAAGAAGTTCAGAGCTCTTCCAGGAAATTAGTCTCCAAATAGATTTGAGTAAAGAACAATCGCGCATGAGTTGTGCGTCGAACACTTCATAGATTAGCATATATGGAAAATACCAGAATAAGGACAAATGGTGAAGGCATTTCTGCAGCTGCTACCAAAGTAGCCTGAAGGACAACCCATTTGGACCATGTAAAAAGACTATGAATAAATCGTAAATAAATCTGGGACAGAAAATACCGAATCACCAGAAATTCCTTTTGACTGAAGTTTATAAGATAAAATGATAAAATAGTTAAAAAAAAGTATACAAAATTAAATAGCGGGGTGATATTGGCATGTGTAGGATGAAATATTTTAGTACATTAAAATATTATTACTTTTGGATAGATAGCAAGATAGATTAAGATTTGCAGCCATGAGTCCAGCCAAATGATAGTTGATATAATATTTGAGCACAACCAGTCATGAAGAGTTGATGGAGAATAAATAAGTCAAAAACACAATTCTAAGGTAAATTGTAAGCTTTGTTTAGTGGCTTGACCTGCCGAAGTTTGATGTAATGCATATTTGTTCATGT